CTAAGGGAAAAGTGACCTTAGATTTAGAAGTGTGAATATTGGATACTTACGGCTTATAACAGTGAGCAGCAGTCAGTACCCATTGGTCACTGACAAGAGAGCCCCCACACAAGTGGTAGCCAGCATTCAGGGATACCTGGTAGGGGACAGAGTTGTTCCCACATGCATAGCCTCTAATAATCTTGTCATCACTATCATTACTGGGGACAGTAGCTGTTAGGGAAGAGGCAGAAACTCTGTTACACAAATCTGTCATGGAATTCCATTCATGAAATTTATGCAGACTACACCAGGTACCAGTGTTCTCTACCATTATCAAATCAGAAAATGTTGGACTTCAGGTAGGCAGTTGTTTGTTTTCTTTTTTACATTTTATTTATTTCAATGTAGATATTTTTGTAACTTATTATGTCTTTTATATCAGCCTCCTTATATAAGAAAACATTCACCTTTAGATACTGCTTTAGGTTTGATAAACCTTGTATTCTTACATATATATTTTAACACACACACATGATGGCATTCACACACAGCAGAGACTCAGAAAATAAATGTCTTACAGCCACTTTTGTGGATATAAATGTCGTTTTAAGGTATCAGACTCAGCATCCACGCAAATACGTTAAAACCCTATACAGTAACTTGCTTGTTGTGTATGTTTATTAGTGATTGCAGAAGTGCTGATGTGGACTAGCTGTTTCTAGGAGGGAATAGAAATGGAGTTTGCAGAAACCACTTGAGAATATTCTTGCTCTTTCAGGAAGCAACTGTTTTGAATTTTTATTTCGTCAACATTTTCTTTGGATTTAGCCTAAAGTGTTTATTGAACATTTTACAGAATATCACAGTGCCCTCCCTGATCTTTCCTGTTATCCTGGTTACTTCTCTACTGTTTATCACCACATTCAACATTGGGAATTATGACCTGCACATTTGTTGAGATTTCTTGTAGCTATGAAATATTGGTTTTGCTTTTTAATATCTAAATTTTTAATTTTGGGAAAGGAGTCTTTAAGTTTGTAGATAGTTGTAGTAAATTGTACCAGTTCAATGTGGAAGAAGTTAATATAAATGTTTAGTAATACAATTTAGTAGTACTAACACTGAAATAGACAATTCCCTCTTTTTTTTCACAGTTGAATGATATGAGACTTTATACCAATGAGAATTCATTAACAGTTTTCTCAAAATTGGTTAAGGTTTTATCTATGACACATAAGATGTCTTTGCCATGTCAGATCTCTTGTTCCTAGTAAATGACCAGCCTTTTAGTCTATAGGAAACTCAGGCTCACATGGTCACAAACTCTTCAGTGAACACAGGTTAATTTTAACAATTAACTCATGAGAGATAAGGTCCAACACTTCTTTTATGTGGACTACTGTTTCCTTTTCTTCTCTAACTTAGAGAGCCTACCTGGAAGTTCAGAACACATTCTGCATCTCTTTGCCCCATATACTGGACACTTAGTTTCGATGAACTCTCTCTGATAAAAATTTAGTCTTTTATAAACACAAATGCTACACACTAATTTCTCTACATTTCTACCATCTTGCTTTCAGACCTTATATTCAACAACCATTGTTGATTTCTAAACACAAAGCCCACATTTATGTGCAATGTATATCTCCGCTGATGAATTCTTTTGAAGGACTCACCAGTAGCTTTGATGAGAACTAGGAAGAGGAAGATCTTCATGGCTGTTCACTAGTTCTCCACAGGCCAATAGGATAAAGGCTTTTTTTCCACAGCTATTTATGCCTCCAGATTTGTCATTGACACTCAGGGCCATAGGTGCCAGAAAAGAGATTTCACTGTAAAGTGAAATAAAAGAAAAGAAGAGAAAAGAAAAGAAAGATACAGAGTTCAGTCCTTGACAGATAAGAGAACGCAGGACCACATGTAAGCATTTCCCAATTTCCTAGAAATCTACAGAATGGAAGTTGCAAACCTGGTGGAAATTGTTTGTCTCCAAAGGAAGTAAGATGTATTCAGCTCACAGTACAAAGCTGCATGTTTCTGGATTCCCAGATAAAAATAAAGATTCTTGTTGTGAACTTTTGCCCACAGGACTGAGTTAAACCTTGTACCTCTGGTGTGTAACTAACAGCTCTTTCACAGTTATATACTTGGTTGATTTTCTAGGCACAGAGCACACAATTAAATGCAATGAGTGTAACCCACTGGTTCATTCATTAGAAAGACATAGGATAATTCTGATTCTTTATATTCACACTTACTTTTCGTTGTTAGGGGGACTGCATTTGAGATCATCCTGGAACTTGATAGCAAGTTCAGGGCCAGTCTGTGCAATTGTCCTGTTTTTGGTTCCTGAGTGCTGGGATTGCAGCTGTATGCCACCATGGGTCGTGTGTTATCACTTTATGGCAACATCCCCCCTTCCTCTGAACAGTTTTTTCTGAAGACATCACTGATAAAACATCCTGTGGTTTGGTTTTAATTGTCACTTATCACTGGATGGCGAAACACTTAGAGCAGCCTTGGTTCAAATTTTGAAGGAATTTTTTGCACTTGACAAAACAATACTGTTGTTTCTGCATGCAGCATTGAGGATAACAATTATGATAAAAATATTATGTCAAGACCATCAAGTTGTTCTTATTATACCTTTATAAATGCATTTAAATTTTTGCTTCAGCTTAAAAAGGGACATAATTTGTCAATAATAGGAATTTAAAACACAAACCTCGATTTCATTTTGCATTTTAAGAGATTAAAAATTATAAATAAAGTAGAATGAGCTCTATTTGTTTACAGTTATACTCTCTCAGTAACCAACTCTTTTAATTATTAGATAGTACTGCTTATAGTACACAGTGCCTGGTCATTCAGAGTTATTTTGAAGCAGTTCAGAGCACAAGAATGCAAGCCTAAACAAGGCTAGCACGACTCCCAAGTTTAGTTTGGAGTACAAAAATTTGGTAAAGTATTCTTCAAAGCTTTGCAGTTTTGAAGGCACATATACACAGAACACATAATTTCATCTAATAAGCAAGAAATCAGCAACTATCAGCGTTGCAGCTACATAGAGATACTCCATATATATTAACTTTCCTATATTTGTAGTGAAATTTAGAATCACGGGCTGTAAAAAGTTGGAGGTTGCCCACATTGACAAAAATCAAGGCCTGAAGCCTGGTTGCTGTTTGAATGTGAAATATTCCCCATAGGCTTATGTGTTTGAATGCTTGGTACCCAGGAGGTGGCGTTATTTGTAAAGGTTGTGCAACCTTCAGGAGGTGGGAGCTTGCCAGAGGAAGCACACCACTCGGGTTGGGCTTGGAGGTTTTCTCGCCTCACTCCACTTGCTCTTCTCTCTCTGCTTCCATACTCCTGCTGCCCGGGGATCAACTACCCCTGGGCTTGCATTCCTTCCCTACCAGGGTGGACTGTATCCACTCTAGAACTGTGAGCCAAAGTGAACTCATTCTGCCTTGAGCTGGCTTTGTCGGGTGTTTTTATCACAGTATCAGGAAAGTCGCTAGGACAGGCTGCTTACGAGTGTAGGCAGCGGTGTTAGTGACTGCAGAGAGGTGACTCCCTGATGTGCAGCTGTATTTCCGATTGCTATGACAGTGACAAGAGTGTCTTAGTCAAGGCACATAGTTGTAGACCAGGCTTAAATATTTTAAAAATAGGGTTTACAAAAGTCAGAATGTCAAAAACAACTTAATGGCCATTTTGTTGTACTTTGAAGGCCCACATGCAGTATGTATTGTACAAAACAGAACACACATTGCTCACTTTGCATGTTTTAAACCCATATTCCCTAAACCCTCTCCATTTTTGCAAAATATTTTAATAAAAATAAAAACATAATAGAGATTTCAGATCTGCATACATATGCTCATAGATATGTAGAAGAACTCTGCAATATTATAGTTGTTTATAAATTTATTATTTAAAAGACTTCACAGGAAAAGATGTTTTGATGAGCACTCTGTTGAGTCATTTCCTGGGCCTGAAAAGATGGCTCAGTACTTCAGAGCATTTTTGTTCTTGCAGACCACCCAGATTTGCTTCCCCGGCACACAAAGGCCTTGTCAAAGCTCCGAGGGCATCAAACATGCAGATGGTGCACAGGCATACATGCAGGCAAGTATTTACATGTGTAAAATAAAAATAAAAGATCTTCTAAAGTAAGAATTTATTTCCTAAGTAGCTACAGGCCTAGAAATTTTTCGGAAATCTTGATAAAACACAAAACCAATAATGTTATTCATACAGGGTATAAATAGCCCTAAGTGACTTAAATAACAGCCTATAAATTGGAAATGTAAAAAGTGCTTTTCAAAGTTTGTATAACTTGGGCAAACTTATATAGGGTGCATTCTCTAATAAAAATGTAGCTAGTTAGATCACCATATTTAACGTTATAGGGCTCTTATTTAAAGAGATGGCCTTGAAAATACCTGCATAGCATGATGGCTTCAGCAAAAGAGACAGGTATGAAGGGAAGATCATCTCCCTAGCAGACTTTCTGGTTGAGGAGGGCGGACTGGTAGAAGAGAGCCTACGTCCCCACACTAGTCAGCTGGGCTGATGAAAGAGACAACCTAGAAGGAGATGTGTCAACAATATAATGACGGCAGTGTATATTAGGCACCGCCCAAAGACCATTTCATCCTTCCCGGCGCTCCATGAAGCTGCTCCGGAACCCAGTGTCAGCTGGCGCCATCTTCCCAAAGTGCCACCCTACACACGGCTTGCCTGGGGAACCTGCCCTCTGATGTGACAGAAAACTCCATTAAGGAATTCTGTAGATTACTGGATATCAGTGCAGTGCGCTTACCACGTGAATCCAGCAATCCAGACCGGTTGAAAATGTTTGGTTAGGGTGAGTTTGAGGACCGGGATTCCCTGCCCCGTGCCCTGAGTCTCAGTGAAGCGTCTCTAGGTAACAGGGGAATTCCAGCAGACGTTGCAAATCAAACGCCTGGAATTGACAGTGGTGATTGTTCTTTTGGCTAAGCCAGAAATCTAGAGTCCACCAGACACAGGCTGGAGTGCCTTCCTCGTCTCGCCACACACACACACACACAGCTTTGATGATGCCCTGCCCATGAGAGGTGATTACTTTGGAGACCAGCAAGTATTGAAATCCTTGAGATTCACGGTGGGTATGGACGGGTATCGGGACTGCCCATGCCTAAACATAGATCCTTATGATGACAGAGGGCAGCAGAGATTACCACAGAGGTAGCCATGATACAGAGAAATTACTTTCTTTCAAGGATTACTTCCCCCCCGCCCTCCTCTGTCTTCTGTTTGAAATCTATTTGCAGGCTGACTCCAGGATAGGAAATGGCAGGCATTTGGTAGCAGTCGGGGTGCTGTTGGGATGATGATTGGAGAGAGATGTGAGTAGTCACCTCTGATGATGGTTGTGACGACAGGAGATTCGTCTGGAGTTCCAGAAATAGTCTCTCGTGGATTATAGGCATAATGACAGAAAACTGACAAAATTATATCTGTGTTTACCTCTGGGTTGAAACAATTTCTATATCATAAAGCAAACTTCAGGGCCTAGAACATTAGGTAAAGATGGAAAAATGGAAATAAAACAATCACTTATGACCTTGCAGGTAGGTTTTTTTTTTTAAAAAAAGATTTATTTAATAAACAGTAGAACCAGAAAAACAAACAAAATACCTAGATAATGACCACCTAGATTTATTTAATGCCTCAGATTTTCCATGAACAGTTCAGAATTGCTGAGAAGAGATAAATTTAATGAATATACACAGAAATAATATTCACAAATAAAATCCTCTACGTTTCAAATTTTTTAGTAACTTGAAGATACGGAATTACGTTAAGTAATTATATGATTTGATTCTTCTCAGAAAGTTACATTAACTGTGATCCCATAACAGGAAAGCAAAAATGGAATATAAAATAGGAGTTCAAACAAGCTATGAAAGATGAAAGCACATGAAAGAATATGTATGTTTATTATTATTATTAATATCATCATCATTATTTTAGGTGTATGTATATGTTTTTCTCTGTGTAAAGTCACACATGCATGGGTGCCCATGGAGGTCAGAAGAGTGTGTTACATGTCCTGGGGCTGGAGTTGTGAGTGCAGGGACTCCACTGAGTTCCCTGCAAGAGCAGCAAGTGCCCTTCACCACTGAGCAGTATGTCTAGCTCTATGAGTATGTTTTTGAGAATATTAAAACTTGAAGATTTTGTGTGACTGGTTGGTGAAAATTATAATTTGTAGGAACTGAACAGATTTAAAAAAAATACTTTTAAACTTTTTGTTTTCTTGTTCATTTTGGAAACAGAATCTTGAATTTGGCCCAGAGTGGCTTTGAAGTGGTACTTTCCAGTCTTATCCTCCTCAGTGCCATGATTTCTTGTGTGTACAATGATGCTGGTTCTGAAGTTAAACTTTTATCTTCTGTATTGAAATGAGAAGGTTTGCCTGATTTACTTTAATTATATTACTTTTTGTGTTTAGTTAAATTGATTAACAGTCAGAATCCTGTCACTTCTTGTGTGTCTGTCTTATGAAGAGAAATGAGTATGTTTTATGACCATTGTTCTATTTTACAGTGATCCTATTTAAATTTGTATTTCAAACCATTCATATACTTGATAAATGTGAAATTATATGTTTGGTCTAGAAGAAACTTTAGGATTTCTAGGGTGACCCAGACATTTAAAAAACACAGATCTATGTTTATAGATGCATTATTAATATATTCTCATAGATTGTTTGATATTCATATGAATCTGACATATTTTTGTGTATATTCAGCATGTTTACGTACTGTCTAGTGGTATCTACACCCATTTTCTTTGCAGTTTTCTGATAGAACTAAAGAATTTTACAAACAGGGTTTTCTTTGAGTATCTGGATATTTTTTTGTGAAAAAGTTTTACAAAATGTTTACTGATTCAAATCTAAGATAACTGAATCCTTTTTTTGATCCCGTAAGTTTAGGTTTTATTTTTCATGTAGTGCATAGTTGCAAGTCATATAAAAATATCTGTAGGATGTTAGCGTTGGGCTACAGAACAGATGAGATCAAACATAACAGTGAACTCCCCATAGTCTGAACCCAACTCCTTTTACATCTCTTGGTTGCCCAAACACAGCAGCAGAAAGGATTACAGTTTTGACTCCCAGTCTTTCATAATGCCTGGTGATGAGGGGTCAACAATAAGAACAGGTCTATCTAAGTAGCCAAGGACAAGAAAAACCCAACTACAGGATTGTTGTGCAGTGATGTCTTCATATAAATCATGCAGAGACAAAGCTAGAAAATTGTCTCCATCAAAATGGATTCACTTTTCTCATCTATATCCATATAAGATTATGGATATAGTAGAAAACCAGGAAGCCAGCCTTCCTTTGAAATTATGCTTATGGATACCTTGATCTAGGACTTAACAGCATCCATAAATATGAAACAAAGCTCTGTGTTGTTGAATACCTCCAGCCCATGGGAATTTTGTCACAGCAGTCTGAGCCGATTAATTAGTTATGTTTGCTGCACCTTACTGTACAGCCTTGTTTTTCTACTTTAAACCTGACACAGCCATTCATGGTTTTTTTGCTCAGGTGCCATTGCATCTTTTCCTTTATCTTGTGCCTGATATTCCTGGGAATATTGTGTTTAGCCTCTTCTACAAACCTTTTTCATAGTGATCTATGGAAAAAATGACACTTTGGAGGAGAGCTGCCAAGGAACCAAATCAAAGACTGTGTGCATCCCAGTAAGGGCTGAAAAGTCCAGACAACCCCTCTATAACCCAAGAACTTTTTGCCTCCCAGTATTACACCTGCATTGTGCAGACTTCTCTGCTGTGGTAGACTCACTTCCCAGGGCTTATGTTTTTGTCCTAGGCTGGGTTTGTATAGATGGCTTTGTTAACAGGTTACAGAGTCTCTCCAGAGGGCACTGAAATACAGGAGACCCTAGAAACAGATTAGGTGAGATTGGCAAATGCAAGAATCTTGTTAATCCAAACATTTCTAAATGCTGAGCTTTGATTTCCAGTATCTCCACAAAACATTGGGTGGGTAAGGACAGCCTGGACTTACCGTGTTTTTCCTAGTAACATTATAAATGAGTTTTAGCAACTGATTTTAATTCTCTGTGCTTTCTGGAAAGTCATGAGCACATGATATACTATATATATTATGACCCAATGTGTATGGTCAGAATTTTATTGCATGGCTAATCTAATATATTAATTTTATTAAAGGCAACTTTATTTTAGCCTTGCTGCTTCCTCACAGAGTCTGGAATACATCAGGTGATAATGAAATTGTTTGTCTAGGTTGCACAAATGACTGAATAACACCTAAACTTGAATTGCTCAACTTTGCTAAACTTCTCACTTTGGCATCAAGATTAAAAAGATTTAGAGCAGAGAAAAAAGTTTTTATTTTCATATGGACTGTAGAGATAGAAGGAAGGCCATCAGAGGGTGACTCCTGAAGAGCTAAAGACACTTAGTTCTCAGCAATGATCTGATGAATCCAGTCCAGGTAGTTGCAGACCTTGGTGTAGACACCACGTTTCCCTTCCCAAGCACAGCCATCACCCCAGGAAACAATACCCTGGACTTGTCCATTGCAGACCAGGGCTACCAGAGAGAGTCAAATGGAACAACAAAGATAAGATATTTAGACTTGGTTATCCTTTGAGGAATAAAGGGATTCAAGATGTTCTTCCATGTTCCCAGAATATGTGTGCAGGCCATTGACCCTCCACAAAGCACTGACTATCCTTTAAAGTCCAGTTTTCGATTCGTTCAGTATCCCTATCTGTATTACTTTGTTCGTTTTTTGTGTCCACCTCTTTCTTCTGCAGTTGTTGTATGGGAGGGTGCAGAAAAGAGTGAGGACCGCAGAGATCTAATATGACTCACAAGCTCTGTCTCTTACATATGGACTCCACCCCACAGCACAAGGCCGCTGGGGTTTACAGTTTACCCAGCATCAGCTCTTTGGCCCTTTACCCATAATATTCAGCATCACATCGAAAGAGAAAGCCAGTGTACATTTTTCTCAAAGCCCTTCTTCACCTTCCAGATTGAGACCCAGGTACAGATTTACCTTTTTCTGTTTCAGACCTAATAAAACCATGGGATGACTAAGGAGTCTCATAGGATCAGAACACTTTATCTATCAAGCATAACTCTGCCTTTGGCCAAACTGAAATTTAAGCCTAGAGGATAAAGTGATTTTAGAGCTTAAAAATGTGAATATTGGCTACTTACACATGGTGACAGTGAGCAGCAGACAATACCCATTGGTCAGCAATGAGCGATTCCCTTACATATGTGAGATCCAGCAATCAGTGACACTTGGTAGGGGACAGAATGCTTCTGACAAGTGTAGCCCCCAATGATCTTATCATCATTCTCCTCAGTGAGGAAGGAAGCTGTGAGAGAAAAGTGAGGAGCTCTCTGTTACATTGTTCTATCATATTATTTCATGCACCATGAAGTTATATTTCAAGCTAAGGACAAAAGAGATGATAATGCTCTCCTGTATCACACAGTCAAGACCTATCAATGTGATGGTTAACTTTTATTGATGACTTGTTTGTGAGGTTATTTTTATGGGGGTTTAACTGCAGAAGGAAGATTCACTCTAACCACAAGTGGTGTCATTTCATGGGGTAGGGATCCAGACTGAACAAAAGGGGGAGAGGCGAAAGCCTGATGAGCATCAGCTCTAGCACTCTGCATCCTGACTGTCGGCATCATAGAGCCCTTGGCCTTACCCTCCTACCACTATTATGAGCTATCCCAAGCACAGCTTCCCTGCCAAGGCTGGCCATACCCTCTTCAACATGAGCCAAAAGAATATTTCTTTAAGTGGCTCCTGTCTGGTTTTGTCTCAATAGTGAGAAAAGTAGCTAATATAACTGGCTTTAGGTAATCTTTTTGATTATTCATTATTCTGCACCTTGAACACAGATGATGATTCTTCTTCTTCTTCTTCTTCTTCTTCTTCTTCTTCTTCTTCTTCTTCTTCTTCTTCTTCTTCTTCTTCTTCTTCTTTTCTTCTCCTTCTCCTCCTCCTCCTCCTCCTCCTCCTTCTTCTTCTCCTTCTTCCTCTTCTCCTCCTTCTTCTTCTCCTTCTTC